TTGCTCAACACTGTCCTCTGGTTTTGTTCATCTCTATATTTGCCATCATCTTTTCAATCTTATGATGATGATCCCAATGATGATATTGACAATGATAACTAACCTTTGATGACTACTGTTTTCCATATGTACACGCGCTTTTGAGGGACAGTGTGGTTCAATAGAAAGTGAATAGATTTGCTAATAACAAGATCTACTTTTGAATTCTGGCTCTCCTTACTACCACTTGATGATTTTGGCAAAGTCATGTCTTCTCCGTGTCTCAGTTTCTCTTCCCTAAGATAGTGAGATAGAGACTGACAAGGAGCATCGTTTGGGAATCACATGAGATAATGCAGGTAAGATACTTAGTAGAATAGCCGGTGGTCTGTGAGTGCTAGTTTCTTTCCTTCTTCAAGAATGTTGTCAGTTAAAGTATCTAGTATAATGATTGTGTGAATGCCAAAGAAATACTATTTAAAGTTGAAAATCTCATGAAAATAAGTGTGGGATAGCAGAAAAATCTCAGACTCTGGACTAGAAGACAAAGGTTAGATATAACTGTGTGTTTCCAGTTGTGCCTCATGTAAATGCAGGTGACAAAATGCATTTTATTAGCTGGTTGTAACTGTTAAATGTTAGAGATAGAAAATAGAATTGGCTTATTTTTCTAAACTTCAGAGAAAATGTACGACAAACATTTAAAATAGTGCTTAGTACTCTTCTCTTTTATGATAACTTATATTGGTAAAAAAGTTTTCTTAAACTACAAAAGAAAAAGAGAAAAACTAGTATTATCTACCTAGAAAACAATCCCAATGTAGTTCCACCTACTCCTGCAATGAAATTGTCGAAGACGTCCTGAAAATTATTTAAATATGCAGACACTTAGTGTCAGCTTTACATAGGTAGAAGGATGAGGATTCAAAGTCACCATGTTATAATTATGGTTGTTTAAACAGACTTATTTCTTGTGGGTTTTTTTTTTGTTTTTTTTTGGCAAACGTGAGTGTTCTCTTTTAAGGAAGGCTGAGTGGCTCAGATCATTCAGATTTGCAGTAATCAACATAATTTGACTTCAGCAGAATAGGAAATACAAAGCAACTGGTTTTAGCTTCTCACAGTATGATCCTACAAGTGCTCCATGCAAAGACTGAACAGGTAATGGAGAACCAAGAGACTATTTTTTCTCATCCTTCCACCTTTTTCATTCTCTGCTAGACAATCCCCTGTGGTAGAAAAAAAAAGCAACACAGAAAACTAACTTAAACTCTACCTTTTCCCAGAGCGAAGCAGGTCAAAGCCTTCATTTATTTTTTCAAAAGGTAAAACATGGGTTATTAATGCGTCCAGTGAAAACTTCTTAGCCATAAAATCAGCCACAAGTTTTGGGATACCTTCTCTACTCTTAAAGCCTGAAAAGAAGACAGTATCATTGTTGATTCGACCAGGGTCAGTAGAAGAATTGAAGAAATTTTTCATATAAATAGAAGTTTAGAAAAGGTGCTGCATTTCAGACTGCTATAACTGAGGATAAGAAGAGATAGAGTACTTCAATATGCTTCTACAGTGCCTTGACGTAAAACAAATCACAGATAAACAAAGTTTCTTAGTTCTTTGGTCTCTCACATAGAAATAATAGTACAGATGTTTATGCCCAAAATTGAGGAGCAAATTTATCGGTTGTCTAAATTTGGGCGTAGATATGAAATATTGTTGTAGATTTCCATGTTCTACTAAAAATGTCCATGCCTTACACAGTCACAAGTACAAAAACAGATGGAGATGAAAGATCCTAGGTTATGGTGACAACAGAAGAGTTTATATTGGGACCTTCTGTCTGCATTAGTTCCATATCTAGTTGATTTGGAGACTGTAGATAGAAAAGGAATTTTAATTTATTTTTGATTTGTTTTCAAAACCGTGCCTTGTCAATTGTAGAAGTGGAGATATATTGATGTTAATGAGAATTTGGCACTTGAGCCCAACTACATACCACCATAAACAGCCCCCTTCCAGGTGCGTCCAGTCAGTAGCAGCATAGGGTTTATTGAGAGGTTCTGGGAATCAGGAGGTACCCCTACGATGACGCTTGTGCCACATGCCTCATGACAACATAACAGGGAAGCCATCTGGAATAAAGTGAATATTTGGCATCTTTAACGTGGAGTTGCATAGTTTTTACTCATAATGCACAATATCATGTAATAGGCTTAACTGGATTGTGAGTGTGTAGAGGAAAGAGATTATGTCTTTTGCTCCTTAATTCCCCTTTTCTGCATAGGATAGTGCTTTGGATTTAGGAAATGCCCAGAAAGTGTTTTTTTTTTTTTAATGAAAGAATGGATGAATAAATTGGAGTGCATTTAGTTCTTCCTAATAAAGGAATAAGGAGGCAGACATCATTATAAACATACATAAAGCGTAAAATTTCATCATCACGTAATTCTCAGGTGATCTGTGAGTTGGTTAAATAATTTTTCATTGATTTATTACATAGGTATTTTGAACCCAGTACTTTCAACCAGATATTTTGACGGTGAACAAGATAAATGATTACATCACTGAAATTTGTCTCTTGTCCATTTGATGGTCTCCTTCTTAAGTGGATTCCTATTCTACTGTCCATTTCTCAAATGGACATGTTTTAAATATTGTTTTATTACTTCCCCAGATACATATTGGTTTTACATTAAAATACACTGATTATTTGGAAACCTCAAGAGACAGTTCAGAAAATGTTTTCCAGTCAGCTTTTGGAACACGTTCTGTAGTTAGAAAATGGTTTAGGATCCCTGTAGTATATAATGATTAGTTCTTTGATTTTGGATTCTGACCTTTGGAAGACCACACATCCTCAGAACATGTGGCTGTCAGACATTTGGTATCTTGAGATAAAGATAAGGTACGTTCGAGTTCCACATGAGAAAATGGATGAAAATATGGAAATAGAGCATAAAGAGAAAAGCTGTAGCCCTGGAAAAAATTGAATTCTTTTGACATTTTATTCCTTTGTGGCATCTGTCCCACGTCAAGGCTGCCGAGAGCTTTGATCTTAGGGTGCCACTCCCTGTTACCCAC